TGTTACTAATGTTTTGTCCTTTTCTCTTCTCTTCTCTTATTTTAGTTTGTTTTTATTTTACTATAATTTCTTCCCTTTTTTCCTATTTCCTCACTTCCTTCGCTGCGTCTACCGTCACTCTTAATAGATTATCTCCGCTAACACCTTCAGTACAGGGACGCCACTTCTAATATTTTATTTGGTTAACGCCAGACGATATTATTCAGCACAGAAGGGGCGCCGTACACAAGGGGTTAATGTTGTCTACTTCTACATCATGTGTCACTCCATAAACCAATCACAGTAGACCAGTTGACACGAGACGCTGACAGCTAAGAGTAGTGTCAGGATGTTTATGTAAATGACGTCATAGCCTCAGCATAGGAACAGGGTGTAGTACCCGACCGGCTTAGTGAAGAATAACCTCGTCAGTCGCTTATGATTTGATACTGGTGTGTTGTTGAAGCTTCCGTCTCAAGGATCATATTTCAGAGGTGATGGAATTCTCTGTTATGGATTTCTTATCGAATGTATGTACTGGAAACTTTGTGGAAACATTGGAATAACTTTGCTTTATTTGCCACAGCAGAAAGTGCTAATTTTAAATGCTCAAAAGGTAGTTTTATTTGTGTTAATAGTATTGTTCTCCTGTAATACTTCTTACGTGTTTTATCTTCATATCTGGATTTTGTAAAGTTGTATTAATTGACTTGAAGATCATGAACAAATTGGTAAGTAACAATTAAGAGAAATTAAACTTTTTTAACAGAGAATAAATTAATGAGATTGGAATTTTTTTTAAAAGATGTAAGAAGCAAACCCTCAGACTTCATAATTATATATTAACAAAAAACTGATAACTTATTACAACAACAGATAAAACCTTGAAACCCGAAATATAAAACACAGGAGCTACTGGCGCAACATATTAGACACCCTCGAGTCATAACTTATTAAACAAAGTCATTCTTATTTATCGGGATATGAAATTTTAGGTAAGAAGACAATTGGAACAGATATATGAGTAATTAGTTTGGTGGCGTTGTTGGAAGGCAGAGCGAGAGCCACGTTCAGTTGATGGCGCCATTATGAGTAACGACACATGAGCCAATAGTAACATCGCCGTTGTTGTAACATACAGCACTAACATTTCAGACGCTGGACCGACGCCCAAGAGCGTCGGTGCTCCTCACTCCTCCTCCGCTCAGCTCGAATTCCACTTTGACGTTTGAAACTAAGACTACGAACTCATTTCCATTTCCTAAGATTCCCTTTTCAATCTATGCTCTGACTGAGCTGTCGAAGACAAGAATTAAATTGATTTCAAGGTTCAGGATGGCAGTCCCTGGTGGGCGGAGCCTACGACATGTAGTGTCCGATTACACCCGTCAATTCTCAAAGATAGCTGGTCTGACAGTTCCCTTCAGGTTAATTAATAACTTTCGTAATTAACAACCTTACAACAATTTCACCATGAACATCAGATTCGCTGATGTTCATGGTGAAAAAGAGGTCAACAATCACTGGCATCTCTAGGGCCGACGTCAATGATACTGTTCAAGTTTCAAGTTTAGAAGCTCCAAGTTGTTGGTAGCGAAAGTCAGAGCTGGGAAGGTGACAGAGGAAGGAGCAGGAGGTTAGGAAGGGATTTGTAGTGGGAGAGGTAGTGCCGTGGCTTTACCCGACTGCGTTTATTTGGTTAGCACATCGTGCATATACAGCTAGACCCCGACTTACGACCGCCACAGATTTTTTATTAATTTTTTTTTTCCTCTCTCAAATGACACGCATTTTCTATACCGAAACGTTTCCAGTTAATGTAGTCTCCATGTATAATTAGAAAATTATGGGGGCCCCATGTGCATTCAGCCGACTACATTAAAGGTAAGTGCTCAGTCACACTGTATCCATTCCTTATTATTTATTACTTTCACTGTACTGTATCCATTCCTCATTATTCATTACTTTTACTGTACTGTATTTATATGTAGATTTTTTATTAAAATTTTTTTTTTTTTTTATATCTATGTCGGACTTACGACCATGTCGGACTTAAGACCTGGATTTGGGTCCCTAACCCCATCGTAAGTCGGGGTCTAGCTGGTATTTGGTGTCTGTCTGTGTTGGGTGTGTGATCCTCGGGTCACCACTCCTCTGGATGGTGTCGGTTCAAGTTTAGAAGCTCCAACAACTTTCCCTGAATACGAATTCGCAACCTTTCGATTTACAACAGGTACCTACTTACTGCTAGGTGAACAGGGGGCTAGGAAGAGTGTCCAAACAACTTCCGCCTGCCCGGGAATCGAACCCGTGACATCTTGCTTGCGAGGCAAGAGCGGTACCGCTTCTACCACAAGCACCCCAATGATACTGTAGTGGATCCTCTCCCCTACAACTCCCAGCTGAGCTTCGGCAACGCGCCTACCAGCCAATCAGCGTACAGCCAGCTACGCTGAGAGACAAGGTCTATGCAGTGGACGTAGGGGTACGATCGCCAACCTAGTCTCGACCTTCAACCTCCAGCTCAGGATCAGAGCCTTTCACACCTTAAGCTTAAGCCGCCGTGATTGGCCCTCGCGCTACGAGCACCTCATATCCTGAGTTTCCTAAATCACATAAATACGGCCCCGGCTGCCTACAAGTGGGACAACCTGAAGCTGGGTGTAATCTCCCACGCCGAAATTGCCCACGTGGACCAAGCAGAGCTGAGTGAGCTCCTCAAGGGGCAACTCCAAGTTGTGAAGAAGTTGTCCGACACCACTGCCCTCATCGAACACCATACAACCTTACCCAAGGAGGCTCAACTGGCGTGGGTAACTGTGTCAGTCAAGCCCTACTGCAGACCGAAACTCTGTTACAAATGCCAGCACTACGGACACACTGTCAACAAGTGTGAGGCGCAGGAGGACACCTGCTTCATGTGCGGCAGCCCCGGACACAGCTACACGGTCTGCCCCAACACAGTAAAAAAAATGCGCTGCCTGTGGCGGCCCACATTCCTCCGCCGATCGGACCTGCCCGAAATGGAAGGAGGAATGTAGGATAGCCAAGGCTCGACTCGACAAGAAACTGAGCTACAAAGAGGCCCTCCTTGCTGTACGCTCCCAAGACAAGAAAAAACCACCAGAAAACAAAACCCCCAAAAAAAAAACTCAAGAAAAGACACCCGCCACACAGAATCAAGAACACCACGAGGGCCGTGGAGCTGTAGCCCACGTGGTCAACCTCACCGTCTCCGACTTCTTCCACACCTATGAGGACATAAGACACGAGGAAGACGAATGAATGGACACTTCAAAATAAGCAAGAAGAGGAGAGTTAGAAGAAAATCTACATCAAGCTAAGAAGAATACCAAGACAGAAGACCAAGACATTTCCTCCACACAAGAAAACAACACACACAATCAAGCCGACCAAGCACTGAGAATCCATGGCCCAACCCAACACGCACCTAACGCTTGACCTGACGCTAGCCTGCTCTGTCCTGCCGCCTCCTGGCCCCGTCCGGGTGAGTTGCTGCTGCCTCCAACTTATACTCCCTCACGCAAGCGGTGTTTAGCCACTGCACCTATTCTCTCCTCCTAAAATTCACTTCAATCCTCCCTTTATTCTTCCCCTGAACCTCTGAACCTCCTTCCCCCCAACCTCCTTCCCCCCAACCTCCTTCCCCCCGTCACTAGCATTTCATGTCATGTCCGGGGAATTCATTCTACACTTGGCTACCGGACCAGCATCACCTCTCACAGCTCCTTACCACCCAGCTTCCTCAGAAACCTCCTCGCCCTACAGGACCTCTGAGCAAGCTTCTCCTCACCTAGTCACACCTAAGCACTGCACTGTACAACAATATATATATATACAGAAAGTGCATTGTGAGTTTCTATTCCACCTCATTCCTGAGTGTGAGATATCTACTTGTACGTATGTTTGTGTGCCCATACAAAGAGAAAATAGACAACTAAAGAGGATTGACAACTGGCCACATACAGTACGCTACAATACCTCACTCTCACTGCCGACTCTACCTTGACTTATATTGACAATTACGCTAACAGTAAATACAATTGGAGCTTTCAATATCAGTCACAATGAATCTTGAATGCTTCATCTGCAATCAGACATCTCTAAGTTGACGCAAAGCAAGGGTGTTCTACCAATTCAAATGCATGAACACCCTGTGCGGAATTTAGGTATACTTGAGTTTCTCCGGTAATGCGACGTAGAAAACGGAGGACTCGGATCTCCTGAAGTGGTTAGAGGACGAATGTTTCAACTGGGTGACTCAAAAGTTTTACAGGTTTTGTGGGCGTGGAGCGTAATATGAATTATTAGGTTCTAACAGACTAGCCATGTCATTATGACCACGACAAAGGTTGATGTATGACTGCTACCTCTTGACTGGCAGGTAGGAGAAATAGTTGCAGCTGCTCATGGTTCTGGCCACCATGCTGTATAACAGGAGAAGGCCTCAAAGATTAATAAAATGTATACAGTACAGTAAAACCTCGCTTAGGAGGGCTAAATGGGGGGAAGGGGTGTCCTGGATAACAGGTTGTCCACCTTAAACAAAAAAAAATCAACAAAAAACTAGTGCAACAAGGAGTCACTGCTGGAGGGTCTTGGCTTGAAAAAGTGTCAATCTTTGAGTGATCTTCCTTCTTTGCTCCTGTAAGACACGTTCCCTCCTGTACCTTAAGTGATCGTAATAGGCTCCAATTTTTTTATTTTTGTTTGATTGGCAAATTCTCTAAGGGTGTCCAGGCAGTCCCTAGCTTCTGCCAGTTTTATTTTTGGTAGTTCATCTTCCTGTTCATCACCATCAAAGTCATCTGCAGCCCCCATGTACAGGGTCCACAATCTCCTCTGTCAAATTGTGGTACTGTACAGTATTCAGGATCATTTTTATCAACCTCCAGCCAAGCCTCCACATCCTCAACTGTAGCATCCTTCTCTTCTCAGAGAAGGGTTCTGAGCCATTCTTCTGATGTGAAGCCCTCAAAATCATGCTCCTCATCAATGTCTTATAGGAGCTTCTCCCAGGATTTGATGAGGATTGTTGCCTTGACTTCTTTGGCAGAAGCAGCAAAATTGTGAGAGCTGGACCTGAAGTTGTATAACTTAAGATTTCTGAAGGTCCTCTGCCTTCCTGTGTCCTCCACCTGATCCTCGCTTGTCTCTTCCACCTCCTTCACCTCATCCAAAATTTTGCGTTTGTACAGCCATTTTGTAGCATAAATAACACCTTGATCCATTGGCTGTATGGCAGAGGTGGTGTTGGGTATCAATGCCTGGCACCTGATCCTTCCATCCCTGCTACACAGTTTTTCAATGTTGTGATGTGAGGGAGCATTATTCAAGAGGATGATAGCCTTCACTTCATCAGCAGGGATTTTCAGATCTTCCACCTGCTTATGCCTGATCTCCACCACAGCATGTATGATAAACCAGTCTGAGGTTATGGATACTGTAAACCATGCATTTTGGGAGTTATAGTAGTGGACTGGGAGCCTTTGCATAATGTCCTTGACTGCACGAGGCTTCTTGCTCTTCCCCACTACCACATGTGTAAGCATGTGGCTCTCATTGGCATTTGCAGACATTGCTCTTTTGAAAGTTTCTTACTGGGCACACTCTTTTTGCTTCTGAAAGCTTGTATATTCTTTGGTAAAGCTCTCCAGAAGAGTCCAGTTTTATCTGCATTGTACAGTTGGCATAATTGAAAGTTTTTGGCATCCATTAAGTCCTTAAATTTTTCCCTAAATGGCTTCACAGTGCGAATATCAGCACGCAGCCTCTCACCACAATTTTTTTCTCACAATATTGTAGCACCTGGATTTCCACACCTGTGGCTGCTGCTACTGTATTCCACTCTCATATTGCTGTACGAACTTTTATACACTGCCTGTTCCAAATCCTCATTCCCAACCTTCATTCTTCTAATGCCAGATTTTTCCTGGTCCACATTAAATTTCATAGCATATTTGTGCAACTTATCTTTGTACAGCTGCTCCCTGACTTACGACGGGGTTAGGGACCGACATCCAGGTCGTAATTCGAAATGGTCTTAAGTCGGAAATGCTTAAATAATACATAGAAAATCGAAAATGGGGGTTTCTTTTTCTTCTCAGCACCACAAAACACTCACTTTTAAGCTTTGCCAGCCATTTTAAAGTGAATTACAGATGAAAATTTTGTCTGCGTCCTGACTTTGGGACTCGAGAATACGTAATTTGACCAAATTTTGGTACGACTGAGGCAGGTCGTAAGTGCGGATGGACGTAAGTCGGGGATGAGCTGTATTTTCGTATATCCGACACCAACTTTTGAAATTCTGTATTCACCGCATATTTGCGAGGGAACAGCACCCTTTTCTAGTTTTTCAATCACCTTTAACTTTTTGGTCACTGATAAGGTCTTAGACTTAACCTTCTCACCACCCTAATGGATACCAAACACCTTCTTAGGGGCCATGGTTATTGTATTAATTTTTAAATAAAATGCAAAAATATGTATGCTACTTCTACTTGCAATGTAACCTCATTACTGGCAATGTCAAATAAGTTTGAAAATGAAGTTCAACATGTCTAAATGGCAATGAAACACTATCGACAGAGTGAGAGAGCTGAAGGGATGCTATCGAGGGCGTTGCTTGTTAATTTTTTAATTCCGGATTTAAATTTGTGAATTATTTTTGGGCAGATTTTGGCTTGCTTAAGTGATATTCGGCTTAGTGGGGTGTGCCTTAATAGGGTTTTACTGTATGTTTATATTTATAATTTTTACATCAAAAGAAGCTTTGAGTAGAGTTAGTAGGTAGAGCACATTGAGGAGACTTAGAAGGGTATTTACTACAACATTCTGCCCCACACTTCATTGTCCAGTACAAGTAATAAATATCAGTTTAATGCTCGCTTTAACTCTTGATACAATCAGCAGCATAATTTATGATAATTTGTGTTACAGAGAGCAGCTTCTCCTCTGGAGAAGAGAAAGAAACTACCAAAACTATATGACATGCATGACATGAGTGATTTTGAGAGTGAAGAGGAGTACTCTGTTCCCACATCTGGATGTAAACTAGGAGATCATAAAAGATCTGTAAAACCCCAAGAAAAATCAAGTAAGTTGGATGTCGGTTTATGTAACATAGTAATACTTTATATTTAACCAAACAAAGTTACCAATAGTGTACTGTGATAATGTTTGCTCTGTAGCATTTAAATACTATGAGGTATTTGAGTTTTCTACCTTAGACTTTGTTATTCAGACAAAATAATTAAGTTGATGGAGAGCATTGGCATCAAGTGGTGGTTGGGGAAGGGTATGCTGGTGGTGGTGTGTGATGCAGGTTCGTGTGAAGTGACAACAAACCAGAATTGGCTCGTTGTTGAAGTGAAGTACCCTGACAGCTACATCATTTATAGCAGTGTTAATGTGTGAGTGTTTTCCCGTTGACACTGGCCACTTTGCTGTCAGTGGAAAAAAGGCTTGAAATAGTGTAAAAGAAATCTGATAGGGAAATACGTATTATGATCAGTAAGGAAATGGCCCCTAAAAGTGCGTAGCGACAGCGAGTTCTGGATGTAAAAAAAACACACTCCCCTTTTTTGTCTCGTCACTGGCAAATGGGGGTGGGGGGGACGGTGCGTGATGATAGTTGCATTTATTACCGGGTATGTTGTTATTTTATGTTAAGTTAAACAAGTTTATAATACATTTTTATTATTTTAATATTCCGGTAATCTTATTTTTAATCCAGCTTCCCAAACGTAAGTTTCAGTATAAAATAATTAGTGGTAGGACCGTGTGAGTGGTTTACAATGTTCTCCATCACCACTCTTGACACGCTAAACCACAATATGTAAGAGGTAAGAATTTTATGCCTGGTATTTAAGATGACCCCTAATTTTGGGCTGATTTTTTTAAGGATCAAATTCCGTCTTATAGGCCGTGATATACGGTACTCTAGACTGGCCATGTTACCCGCATGGATGACAGTAGACTGCCAAAGCAGCTACTTTACAGTCACCTTACGAATAGTAAACATAACGCTGGCGGGCAACTGAAGAGGTATAAGGATAGTCTTAAGACAAACCTGAAAAAGTGCCAAATCGACCCCTTCACCTCGGAGACGATTACTCCACACCGTAACGCTTGGAGGAGCACCAAACGAGAAGGTGTCAATACTTTTGAGTTAGCCCGACTTCATAATGAGGCAGACAAGTGCCAGCGCCGGAAACACACTGTCGCTGCTCCTCCCGCACTAGATGTAGCCCCCCACATGTGCAACATCTGTGATCAACTCTGCCGGTCCCGTATCGGCCTCTTTAGTCACCTCAGAACTCGCCAACCTAGGTGACATCCTTAATAACTCATATCATTATATCATAGCTGGACTTTTGGGAATTTTCCGGAAAAATTCTGAGCAAATTTCAATTTCTGCTATTGGAGAGTTCTGGGGTCGAGAGATTCCGGCTAACAGAGATATAGATTTTGCCAAGGCTTTCGACAGCGTACCCCGTGAAAGGCTGAGAATCAAACAGAAAGGGTTCGGGATTCAGGGAATTGTCCTAGCTTGGAACGGAGATTCTGCCCGACCTCAAACAGCGTGTGGCGATAAATGGTACGAGATAGTCATGTGTACCTGTGAGAAGCAGGGTACCACGGGGCCTGTTGTTGTTTGTCTGCTTCGTTAATGATATGCCAGAAGCTATACTCTCCTATATATAGATGTTTGCTGACGATGCCAATTTATTTAGAGAAATTAAGAACAAACAGACTGTGAAGAGCTATAGAGAGATCTATGAGCTTTAAGAATAGTCGAAGAAATGGCTGCTAAGAGGATGTACCTGGGTCACAGTAACAGTAAGGAGGTGTATCACATGTCCCAACAGGACGAACAGACTGTATTAATCGAGACAGAATGTGAAAAGAAGCCGAGTGTTTATGTCGACAATGAATTTAAGTTCTCGGACCATTGTGAGAAGAAGGTGAATCGGGCAACGAAACAAGTAGATCTTATCAGAAGGTTGTTTAGATACCCAGATGGTCCGTCGCTCGTCGCGATCTTTAAGTGTGAGGTGCTTCCCCATCTGGAGTACTGTCACCCTGTCTGGTCCCCGAGGTAAATTAATTGAAAATGTCTCCTGAGGGGGCCACCAGACTGGTACCTGCTCTACGGAACCTCGGTTAACCAGAGAGAGATTAGAAGGCCTGTAACTTCCTAGCTTATACTACAGACGGGCGAGAAGCGACCGAAATGAAGTTTATAAACATCTCGGGGGGGGGGGGCACACTACTTGGATGAATGTACAGTCGGCCACAGGAATAAGTATACACACTGTAGCTGTAAGGTCTGAAAATGGTCTGGTAATGTTGAAACTGTGCATCCAGACTCATGATGAAACTCAGCTCCCCCCACCTGTTATCTCTAACTATTTTCTGTTTCCCTTCTTTTATTCTTTTATTTACTCCTCTTCCTTCCTTTACTAATCCAAACACCAATCAAAAAAAAGTAGGGTAAGAGAAACACTGGGGGAGGAGGAGGGAGCCGTATGATAACTGCAATCCTATTCGGCAACAAGTTTACTACCATTGGATACAATATATTACTTGTAATATAAACACAAGACACTAGTAAAACATTCGCAACACATGTATTTATAACATATATGTAGGAATAAAACATAAATTACAGGTCATTTTGTAATTTTGTCTGTTCTGCTCAGGAGTGTTACCAAATATTTTGATTCAAACACTAACAGTAGGTGTATTCTTATTCTTGTGGCCGAATGTACATTCCTGGAGCTGGTGGATGCTCACCCCACAAGGGGTCACAGCTCAAGGTTGAAGAAGCCACAGGACAAGAAAACTGTGAGGGCAAACTTTTTCTGAGTGAGAGTTGTGAACTCTTGGAACATTCTGGCGGAGAATGTTGTGACTGCTCCGAGTGTGAGCTCTTTCAAGACCAGATGTGACCAACACTGGAGCAGGTTCCGATATATTCAGGAGCCGGTGCATGCCCAGTACTTGAGAACAGTGCGTAATAGGTGTGACCGATCACCACTAGCGGCTAACGAGCCGATCAGTGACGAAGAGTATGTAGTGGATTTCTCCCCTACAAACGCTGTTTGTCGCTGAGTAGCCGACCCCACCAATTCCCCAGTGTATGCCTCGTGGTCTGGGTCAACCAGCGCCGCCATACATCATGGAGCGGGGGTCAACTACTAAGCCACGCCTACCCCCCGCTATTTAAGACCTGACCTCGTGGTGACCTACCCTCTTTCTACCTACAGCCGCAGCTAGCAACACCTCATCCTCCTCCGCCGCTGCCCGGCGGCCCCCACACCTCCTCCGCCTGCCTGGCGGTCCTCTCTCCTGCTAGCGAGCATGGCGACCCACAAGGTGTCCTTCTCTGAGCGTCCTCACCAACCAGCTCTCTCTCTACATCACTCTTGTAACCATGCTGCCTTCCCAGCACCAAGCTGCATTGTACATCCAATACAACATGTATATAGAGAGCACATTGTGAGTTTCCTTTCTCCATTCCATTCTGAGTGTGAACCAAACATCCTGAACCCCACAAGTATAAAAGTAAAAG